ACCATGAATAAATACTAAGAACCTTAAAGGATACCTGTGTTTTCGCTTGTGTCTTGTGCTTTATGCAGTGCCTGAGACATGTCACATGTTTTCAGGCACAGAGAAAAGAAGCAATACAGTCTTTAATATCATGACTTAATTGGCTGTGCAATTAACTCTCTTATAAAACAAACCGGGGGTGGCAAGAAAAAGGAGGGAAGTCCTTGGCAGATGGTTGATTGGAAAGCTGTATGGCATTGCAGAAATTAAGAAACAGGAAAGGATAAAAGAAATGCATTGTAAGGTGTGAAAGCCTTGGGCAAAGGGAGGGCGTGCAGCAGCGTGTGGGAAGGAATCGGCTCACAACATAAGCTTGGAATTGCACGGAGCTGTGGAGACCAAGGCAGAAAAGCGTTAAGCGCTGGTGGAAGAAGATATAGAACCAAACAGGGGATTTAAGCAATGAGGAAAATCACAGCATAACGGGAGACACTTCTGATTTTCATGGGAGTATCTTTCACAAATAGGAAATCGGGCAGTTTCTATAGGGCCCAGCCATTTTTTTTTTGGTTGAAAACGAATACCTGTAAGACAGTAACTCTGTATTTACTTGCAGGTACCTGAATATGCTATTATGGTCTACAGGAAGAAATAGCCAGATTAAGTTGGTCCTGTTACTTTCCAAACACTGCAGCCCCTTTTGCTCAGATTTAGTTTCTGGAGCAGACAGTTTTTAGGTACTTTACTATCTTTAGGACATCTTTAACAGCAGAAAATAAACAACAACTTTGGAAAATGAAAAACTCTTTCTGAATGCTCTGATATCAAAATTATGCCATGGTCACATTACACATTCACAACTTACTTTTTTGAAGCCTTTTTGTACTTTTGGTTTAGTTCTTGCACCAGTAAAGAAATTCTAAGTTTAAGGAATAGTCAATATTCTTCAGTCCGTGTGTTTCTCTGACTATGGCTATTCTGCTGAGTTCCTATCAGAACATCTCGTCTCCAGTGTCCACACCAGTACTTTAGGTCCCCCATTTTGTTGTCTGGGTTTCTTCTGTCAGTTTTCAAAAATCTAAGTTAAGTCAGAAAAAAAAAAGCTTCTTAAGATGTGCAGTTTACTCGTTAACTGTACTACGTGACAGCTGGTGTGACTGATACCTAGTACTTCATGTCCACGCTTCCGCTTTCTCACACTCATCTATCCAGTACTGTATTAGCACTCCCCAGACCCGTTCCTTCCTCCAGAAGTAGAGGCTGCACAAATTACTGCCCCTTTTGTCTCTGTTTCAGTTAAATGAAAGCTCTTTGTGCTAACACTACTGCCAGGACATAGTAACACCAAGAAGACTCCATGAATACCTCCAGTGGGAAAATATCCCAATGGACTTCTTATAGCAACAGTTTAATACACATACTGATCTTTGCTGTTTTGTCATACCTTTGATTTCCTTTCCTGTGGCTAAAATTCCAGTGAATTCCCCAGGCCTCTGCTTCTGTGTTATCTCAGGACACATTTTTTAGCAAGAATCTATGTATCATTAGTCCAAAACAGAGGGCAGCCCCGTTGCTACTATGATACCCCTATTCCCTGCGGGGCTGCCGCAATCCCTTGCCAAATCCAGTACTTCCTCTTCTACTTGGGACAGTCTCATTTCATTTGCTCCGACATTTCTTTTAGCTTCACTTCTTCCTAGCTCTGTAACAAACGTGCCTCTCAGTTCCATTTTTCCTTTACTATTACTTACAGCTATTTACAGCCCCTACACCTTGCATTCTCCTATTTACATTGATAAATATGAAGTGGAAAATTCCTTTCCACAGGTAATTCTCAGGCTCTTCTTCAGATTCCCAGTACTCCTTTCAGCACCCTTTCCACCAGCATAGCAGATTTCTGCTTCCAGCTGCATCTGTGTTTGAGTAACCATTTTTATGAGTTCTACCAGACAGGATTTTATTTAAACAATGTATTCTTGAAAGGAAAAAACGATGCTGTAATATCAGCCTACTTCAACCATCAGTATTCACTTCAGATGCGTTTAAGATTCACAGTGATTGTGGATCAATGACACCTGCAATGAACTGCCCAATAAATAATTACTCTGGCCCGCAGCCTGCTCCTTGTGGTGCTGCCTCTTTCCCAGTGTTTCTGGGAGTTGTTTTGGCAGTAGGCCGCTTCCAGGTCCATGATGTTGCAACAGTTGTGCATCAGGTTACTTACATTTTTGGGGAAGGACAGGTAGCATGGTACCTACAACCAGAACTACTTCATGAGCCCTAATCCCCAGTCATAGACCAAACAGAGGAACTCTGGGGAAAAATGAATTACATTTTTTTTCTGTGGTGGCACAACCCACAGCTATGCTGCATTTTCATCCAAGAATTCCTCAGACTCTGGCCAGGAGCATTTGCCAGCAGTCATCCACTTATTTCTAGCTTTTGTCCTTCTCCCTGCAAAGTCAGGGCTCACACTTCTGTCAGACCTCCTGAGCATGTGCAATGCATCTTTTCCAACAATACAGGAACTCAAAATATGGCCTTTACTAGCCATGGAAAAGCCCTCTCCTTTACAAAAATGCAGTCACAGAGCATATGGACAGACACTGCAATTCAAAAGCCTCTAAGTTACATGCACAGTTTCATCTGCTTGACCATTTCTGCTATTGGTAAAAAGCTAAGCCACACATTATGCCTATGTGGCTCTCTCTGATTGAGAGGGTGTCTATTTTTATTTGAGAGCAATCAGGTTATACACAGAGTTCCCCAGAAAAGCCAACTATTCTCTCTCAAGACCACTAAATGACAGGAAACTTTCTCTCTGGACTACGTCATTGTACAGTCTGTCTCCCAGGGCTTAAGCTATATGGCAAATAGCCTACCATTGGTACTTGGTACTTTACATGTTTAATTTTTCTCAGAGCCAATCCCTTAATACAAGCCAAATATTCACGTGTCATACAGTTAAGATTTTATAACTGGGTTATTGATGTGTGACGGATTTTTAATGTAATTCTGGAGTGAGTTACAACATTAGAATAAAAAAAAAAATCAGTTCTGCTAATTATAGTTTTTTTGAAAATGTTTTAATGCAGACTCTCACTACAAACACTTTGATATTCCCAGCAATTTCTTGCTTTGAAAGAATGCGTAGTTAATAGAAACTGATAGGAAACATTTCCTGCTATGTGGTAAGCTTAAAGAGTAAACTCAAAGTTTTGTACTAGAAATAAAATCTGTGAAATCTTTAAAATGAAGCTATTGAACTTGATACTGGTAAAAAGGTCAAGCATTTGATGAGTTTACGTGACCATCTGATACTATTACAATTTGGTTAACAGTATTTCCTGAAATACAATAATCAGATAAATATAGAGGAAAAGACAATTCTCTAGAAAATCATCTAAGTTCAAAAAAAACAGCTACAGAGGGATCTTTTGTACCTCTGAAAAGTGAGGGGAAAATAAATTCTCATTTGATAATTTCATTTTACTCTTTTTTTTTTTCATTCAGTGTAGACCTTGCTTTTATTTAATTTCTCAGCATTCTGATATAACTTCTACCAGCATTAAAATACAAAACCTTATGGAGCAGCTGGAATGATAGGAAGGTCTCCAAGGATTTGTCCATACAAGAAAGTTACAAGCACAACTGTCCCAATATAGTTGCACAAACCAGCTCCCCAGAGAGGGCATTTTGATTTCTCACTTAGTATCTTCCTCAACAGAAAAAGCTAAAGTGGGAAGAAAAGGCACTCATTCCAAAATAGATATTCATACAAGGAACTAGTGAGTATGCCTATTCCTGTAAAATATGTATTAAATGAACAGTAGGTTTAACAGGTATAAAACAAATAAATTCTACCACCTTAGAGGGAAAAGCCCTGTGGCAAAAATCTCTGTACTCAGCGGGATACAGCTTGTGTATGGAAAGCTTAAAAATGCCATCAGGGAAAGGTTTGGATTTTTCTTTGTTTTTCTAGAAACAAATAAGTTTCTAAGAATCTCTCCGTTACATGAGGAATGTGCCCAGCCCATGGAGATTTTCTTCTTTTGGTTCCATAAAATCTGTATGGGCTATAGCCATATTTTTCTGAATTCTCTGAAAAATAAATGCTTTTATTGCTAACCTCAGCTATAATTTGTTTTCATGCTGAAAAGGCAATAGAGGGTTTAAACAATTATGACATACTTAAATTCTTCATGCTTCTTCGTCAAGACCAACTGCCTATGAAATTAGACTGATATAAATTGCTGTTACTCACTAGCCTTTACTGATCTGTTCTTGTGCTCTTTTTAGACACATCATTATCTTACATGAGCTTACAGTTTTGTACTATGTGTGCAGTTCAAATTGACAGCTAGGAGAAACTCCATGGAGACAGTTCAAATTATTACCATAAAAATCCTCAACATTGTTACCAAGTATTCTTTATGACACAGATTACAGAAGCTGTGGAGAGAGTAAGCAGTTGTTCTGACTGAGGTAGTTCCTATGGAAATGTTGTTACTGAAAAATCAGACCAGACACAGGTAACCATATTTTACATGAGATACTAGAAATGCGTATTATATTATGACCTTAAGAAAAGTCCCTGCTGTTTTATTAAACAAACTGAAGTCCATGCTGTAGAGAAACCAGCAAGTTTGCAAAATCAATTTTTCCCCTCTTATAAGTGGCCTGCTAACACAAAAGAGTCATCCTCTTTTCTTATGAAGCACCTGCATTTTCGTTTGTAATAGGGTTCTTGT